TTTTTATAAAATGGAGTACTACTCAGCCATAAAGAATGAGAAATTAGAGACATTCATCACTATTTATATTCTATCTAGGCTTTACTGGGGTGCCTAGACACACTCTGCTGGGTGGAGAAGAGAGAACAGGGACCAGACCTTATTTTGCTTTACTGTCCTGTGCCAGGGAGACTTTGTGGTGCCAAAGACCCTCGACCTGGATTTTCCGCCAGACTCACTGTTGAGTGGAGTTTAGGTGTATATGAGTGAGAAGTTCATAGAGGTAGAACGGCTGCCTTAGTAATAAGCATATCTGTTTCTCTCACTTAGCAGGAAAATGCAAGTATATGTGAATTTCTTCCCTATTTCCCCCAAAGGAGAGAATGGGAAATGGGGGCTACTGGTGATCTGATGGAGTCACTGAAAAGTCTGCAGCTCCTCTTCCCCAGGCTTTGTGATCAGTTTGTTCAAACTCACTGGCACAGTTCCTGGCCGAAAACAATATTCTGTCAGCCATTTCCTTTATCTGGGTAGTAGGCCATAAGGACCTTGGATTCCCAAAGGCTTCTGTTAAGTTTTCAGAAATAGATTCATATTCTGTATAGGACTAGTGAGTACTGACTCTGCAAACGGACTCCCAATTTGTTGCCTGGATGAACCCAGTTTGAACTCTATCCGCGTTGAATTTGAGTCACTTAATGAATTACAGAAATATTTGATTTTTTCCCCATTAAGTTTATCGGTCCATTTTAAGTATACAGTACAGTTACCTTCATCATTGGGATCTTGTACCCTTACATGATGTGTCTCAGTTCTTATTTTTCCCCCTTCCCCTGCTCTCCCTTCAACCCCTCCACCCCTCCCTATTTACAGAGACTTTGTTTCCATTTTTCATATTTTTTCCTTTCCCTTCTTTCCTTCCCCCTTCCCCTCCCACTTCCCGTACCCCCTTTAGACCTTTTCTTCCTATTTCACATTATCAATTATACATTTTGATCCTTGTTTACACTTTTAGTTTCTCACACCAGAGAAACTATTTGGTATTTACACACGTGTTTCCTTTAAGAAATGTTTAATTTTTGAAGCATGACATATCCTGGAGTTTCAATTAAAATTATAGAGAACTCTTGATTACAACCAAGGGTTCAAAGCTGAAGAGAACTGGTTGCCTTGCAGGTATGAAAGAATCGAAATCCCAATCCATATTGTGCCTCATGTCACCATTGGGAAAGTGTGCCTTGAATCAGCAGTGGAGCTACCCAAAATCCTGTGCCAGGAGGAGCAAGATGCATATAGGAGGATTCACAGGTGGAGACCCTGTTGTCCCTCTTCTCTACTTCTCAGAGCCTAGTCCTTTTATCTTCAGCGACTCAACTCTTGAGCCCCCTTTCTTTTCATCTATGAAAAAGCTTTATTGCAGTCTCTAAATCATGGTTTTTCTTACACTTTATATAACAGCTTCTGTGACGTATCTTTCTCTGTTGATATAAGTTCTGTCCTTTAAGGGAAAGGATCTTTCTTTTTAGGTTATGAAAATAAGATAAGCCACAACATCTTAATAGCTCTGTTAACAAGCACTAGGTCTTGCCCGATAAATGTATACTGTATCAAGTCATCAGCAAGAGACAGTAATTTCAAAGTTATATCTCTGAATTACTTCTTGAAATTTTAGAGAAAGTCTTTTAAAAATTAACAATAATGAGAGTTGGGCATAGTGGCACACACTTTTAATCCCAGCTACTTGAAATACTTGGGAGGTTGAAGCAGAAAGATCACAAGTTGCCGGTTAACCTGACCAACATAGCAAGACACTGGCTCAAAATTTAAAAAATAGCAATAATGAGCACTTAAACCATACAAATTCACCTAATCCAGCTGGCAAGGATCAGACATAGTTTGTCAGTTTGTTATGGACCATGACTATTTGGTTTGCCTTTCGGTGCTATTTTGCTATTAACCTCAACTGTTTTCTCCCTTTAGCCTTACACACCTGGACTCGGTAACCAAGATCCATAATGGCTCAGGTAAGGTTTTTTTTCTTGACCTCTGAAATGCTCTCCTAACAGAAATAAATTTAGTTGAAGTAACTGAAGTGATGGGTACAAGTTGTCTTTGTACCTGGCATTTCTTTTGAACCCTGTAGACCAGACTCTTGGATATTGTAAATGCATCTTAGAGTAGGACAGGAAGAAAGACATCTTGACTAAGGGTAGTGACATGAGTTATACAGTTGTCAAAATTCATTGCACTGTATGCTTTAAATTGGTTTTTTTATTGCCTGTAAATTATAACCCAATAAAGCTCATCATAAAGTCAAAAATATAGGAGAAAATATAAGAGAAGAGGCTATACCCTAAATATAATCTGAAACTTGGCACTCATAAAACATTGACTAATTAAAATGTAAATACTTTTATAAGCCCCTGCAGAAAAAATTAAAAATTTAATTATAGTCTTTAAAAGAAGTATGGATTTAAGATAAAGTTAGCATTTTTTTCCCCCATTAACTTTATTGGTACGTTTCAGGTATAAAATACAGTTACATTCATCATTGGGATCTTGTACCATTACATGAGTCTCTTGGTTCTTATTTTTTTCCCCTTCCCTTGCCCTCCCTTCACCCCATCCACCCTTCCCTATTTGCAAAGACCTTGTTTCCATTTTTTTCCTCTTCTCATATTTT